AAATATATATTTCTTATTATTTGACTAATTGTTTTTTTTTTTTTCTTTAAAAAAAAACAGGATGTGGAACATGTTTTGACTTTAATAAACAACAAGATTATTTATTTATTGTTGGTACAGAAGAAGGTAAAATTCATAAGTGTTCAAAGTCTTATAATAATCAATTTTTGGATACATTCGATGCACATCATATGGCTGTTTATGCTGTACATTGGAATAAATTTCATTCAAAAATATTTGCTAGTTGTTCAGCTGATTGGAGTGTTAAAATTTGGGATATTAGTTTTAAGTAAAAACGAAAATATTTTTTATTATTTTCTTCTATGAAATTTTCAATTATGTTTTGTTTTTAATTTCTTTTTAGAGATCCATTATTTGTTTATGATCTTGGCAGTCCTGTTGGTGATGTTGTTTGGGCACCATATTCATCAACAGTATTTGCAGCATGTACAGCTGATGGAAAAATTTATGTATTTGATTTAAATGTGAATAAATATGAACCAGTTTGTGAACAAATAGTTGTACAAAAAAAACGTACAAAATTAACACATATTACATTTAATCAACGTTATCCAATATTACTTGCTGGTGATGATCGAGGAAATATAATATCATTAAAACTTTCACCAAATTTACGTAAAAAACCTAAAGCTAAAAAAGGTCAAGAAGTAACTGAGGGACCTGAAGCTGAAATTGCAAAATTAGAAAAAATTCTTGCACTTATTCGTGATCCAGATGATGCACGAAATAAATCATTAGGACAACAAGGTACAACAACATCGGTTACAGCGAATTAAATACTTGTCTTTTTTTTCTTGGTTTTAATTAATTTTTTTTTTCATTTTTGAATTTATGCATTTTGACATTCTTAAAAAAAAACGACGTATTTTAAATGAAAATTGTTTGAACAATTGTATCTTTTTGATTGAAGTTTGACTAAGAAATTTTCGTAAGACTATAACATTTATTTTTGGTTGACTATTACGTATCGCTAAGTATAATAAGAGAATACACAACACTCGAACATGAAAAATCAAAGATCAGAATAAAAGTGTAAGTGTGGGTAAACTAAAGACTCTCATTCACTTCCATATCTACATCTATGATCACATTTCAATTTGCTTCACAATTTTAAACCGTAGAAAGTTGGACTTGATGTCAAAATGGAGGTAAAAACCAGCTCTACAACTTAATAGAACTGAACTATTCGATTTTTAATTTAATTTTTACTAAAAACTAATCATTATGGATGTATACTAGCTGATTTTTTTTCTTATTGTACCAAAGAAGTTTTCGTGAAAAGCAAACTAGAAAAAATTATGCTCTGTTAAGCTGTAGTGTCACGTCTTTTGAAACAATGCAAAAATGTGAAACGTTCGAACATCTATATTTTGACCAATAATCTTAAGCTAATTTTTCATTTACTCGATGTATGGAACTAAGATATTTACCATGAGTTGCCTGACTCCAGATACATTATTTCTGCAAAATTTCACCAAGATTAGATGGTTGAAAAGCAAATTTTTTTTAGGGGATCATCTTACAGAGTTTTTCTAAAAACTAAATAGAGAATTATGCAAATTTTAAAATCTAAAAAATAATTTTAATCTCAGTTTTTTTGAGATTTTAAGCTCACAACCGTGAAATATAAATGTATTCTTATCTTAATATACTCATTAAAGTTTTAATTTTTCAAGTGAATCATTAATTAAAAAGACTCTTCTAGTGACGTACATAATGAAAGCTATATATTAAATAAAATATTCAAGGATTTATTCAATGTACACTACTCAAAAAACAGTGACAAAAGATCTTTAGAAGAGAAATTTACTGTTCTCCGACCAAATAATATTTCAAACATGCTTTGATTTATATCAATTGAAACATTTTAGACACTATCAAGCAAGAAAACAACGTCTGTATATAATAAAATTATTGTCATGTATTCAAAAAACCTATTCCGTCTATACTTCTTATGTAATTTCTTTCACAATCGTTTAGATTTTATGACATAAAACAAACAGAATGCATACATTACATTAATCATTGTCATTACGATTGTAAAGACTGTTATTCTAGACTATGAAAAAGAATCCAGTCAAAATATACGTTGATTCTAGACGAAGAGATTGTTTTTTTTTTATTGTCAAAAGAATAACTTCAAGATTGAAGTTATTGACCACAAGGTAAACTACCATTAAAGTGTGAACAAAACAGCTCAATTTTTCTATTCATAGTTTAATAGGCGATACCTTAAGAAAATACTGTCTCAATCAAAATGTCATATTTCTTATATACTAGACAGTGATTACTTTTTTTCTATTCCAATGTCACAGCAGTTTCATGTATAAATCAAGGAAAAAGCAATTGATATTTATCACAAATATCAAAAAAATCACCCTGACAATCTAAAAAAAAAAAAAAGACTACAATACAATGTTCGATTTTTGACTTTTTCATACAAGTAGATTGTATGACTACATTCAGATTACAGGCACAATTTTTAGTTAATTAAGAAAAAAAAATCCGCAAAGTAGAATCGGAATATGGGAAGACTAAATTAAAATCAAAACAAGATTTTTCATCCTTATCACTTGTATCGATAACAGAACTTAATATTTACACTTAAATCAAGCAACCTACACTGATCCTCTTAGTATATCTATTTTTGCATGTTCTCATTATGCGGTTACTTTTGTCTCTTTTTCCTCAATTCTATTTTGAGGACATATTTTTTCCTTCAACTAAGGAAAAAATGTCCTCAATCAAGAAGATATGGATTTTACATGCTTGAAAGAAAGTAATGTTATTCATTAGTCATAGAATATTACTTTTGTAATTACTAAATATTTAATGCACGAAAAAGAAAATGATGTGATGTAAGTCTACAACTTCAATTTTCTATTCTTAATCATTACTTTTATTTTTATTACTACTTAATAGTCGATCAATCAATTGTATAGAATCACTAGTACGTTTTTTTTTTGTTTGATTCTTTGCACCTTGCTTTTAGTAATGCAATTGACAATATGAAATATTGTACATGTCTTTTGACTCAATATGATTACGTTCTCGTGCATTAAATATATATATATATATGCAGCTTTTTCACATGTCAACACCAAACTCTTCAACTAACGACTGATGACCTTTTGTCTCGTCTTTTTCATTCTTTACGATCACTTTTGTTCTTTTTTTTTGTCACTCAATATTTATTGTCTGGTCATTCATACTCTAGTCAAAGAATTAATGGTAGCAGATGTTCTTAGATTCACTTTACTTTATTCTATTACACAATGTAATTCATGTACGTATGTAGAAATTTTTTATTTCTAATATTCTTCTTTGTCGTTTTTTCTTTGTTGCTCATGCATATGTACAATTTTTCTTTTATTTTTTGTTGAATAGATTTAATGTGTTGAGGTTAAAAAAAAAAAAAAAAAGAGCAAATAATAGTGACAATAGTTGTCGTGATCATGATCGTGTACTATATATATTGATCTATTCATTATCGTTTTAGAATAGTGTAATCGACATTGCAACTTATGGCCTTCAAGATTTCAATGAAGGTAAGAAGTAAATTTTCTTTTTTTCTTTTTTTGAAAATTTAGTGCCTTTCAATTAATCCGTTTGAGAATAAAGAGAAATACAAGGTTTTTTGTCTTGTAAGAAAAAGAAAAAAAGATTGTCGTATGCCGAACAAAATTTTCTATTGAAATTAATCATATGTTTGATTTCTGCTTTTCTATACTTTATCTTTTACTGTTGAGAGATATGCATGTATATATGTATGGTTATTCTTCTTGGCTTAGGTCACATTCAATTTGTCATCTGCTTTCAACAGTAATAGTAACTTATGATCTTTCTATTATAGAAAGGCCATTACATATCTTTTCTATCGATGGTGTAATCATTATGTTCATTTGCTTTTTTCTTCTGTTGTAGGCTTACTTAGAATGAATTTTAGTAGGGAAAAAAAAATCTTAATGAGAAATCATTATATGAGAAAACTAGTTGAGTGAATAGATGATAAGAACGACGACGATGATGATGCGATTGTTATCATCATTATCATTATAATTCGATAGAGATCAGTAAGACAAAAAGAAAATTAACTTTATTTTTCCCTTAGGATTTTATTTGCATCATTCGACTTGTTTTCTCAGGGTACCATTTATTGCGGTTTCTTTTTGAAGATAGAAATTCACTTTCTGATATCTTTCTTTTTTATCTCCCACATATGTATCTAACGCTAATTATCATGCACAGTTGTGTTATAGACTTCATGCAGTCTTTCTACTTATTTTCTTATCATTGACTATAATAATAATGAGAATATTTATTCAATAAAATGAACATGAAAAATAGAGATCAGAGTTTTTGCATATATAAATTTAATTGTACGAACACTTAAAAACATATACGTAAGCTTTAATCGTAAACCGATATTATCCTGAGCAAAATAGGTGAAGCAGGTATATATACTTTATTCTTTGCTTATTGTTAAATAATATATCCTATATATATATATATGCAAGGTTATATAAAAGATCAGCTTTTTGCTTCTATATATATAGTGAAGTGTCTTCTCTTTTGCGCTTTACATATTGACGAGTTTTTGTGGACAACGTCCATTCGAATTGTATACGATTCATATCATAGGCGTTCTATGAACACTTTTAATGAACTGATGAATACGATAATACCTAATCTATATATATATATATGCATGCAATATTGAAATTTTTAAAGTTGTGTCATCAGTACAGAACATATATATATATAATAGTATAGAAAGCAAAGACTTCGCACATTATTTGAAACACATACGACGATAATAAAAGCTTTACTTAGATTATTCAAAATCATATTAGACAATTTTATAAGAATCAAATAGTGAAACCATAATAAATCATTAAGTATACTTGCTTTTTTTTTTAAATTGATGTATTTATTTTGCTATTTTATTGTAGGTCATCTTTTTTTTTTATTAAAATTAAATGGCGACAAACAAATCATTATCTCATCATCGTAATTATCAAATAGCTCCTTCGGTTATATCTGCAAAATTTCGTAGTAAAAGTTCTGATTCTTTATCGAATAATAATCGAAAAATTGAATCTCAACAAAAAGAAAAACAAATAAATAAAACAACAAAAATGAAAAAATCACAAACAGAATTAACATATTTTGAAACAAAACCTATAGAAACTATATGCAACACAACATCTATGTTACGTCGTCGATTTAGTCTTTTTCGTACTAAACGTTCTCAACCATCAAATGAAAATGTTAATGTTCCAGCACTGCAACAAATCATTGATAAATTAAGACATGATTTACAGATAAAAACTGATGAGCTTGAAACAATGAAAAAACGTACTGAATATAAACGTTGTAGTATAATACAACCATCAAATGAATCCATTGAACAAGCTTTTCAATTACAAACAATATTAAATACAAGACTTGAAGAAATGCTCACAGAAAATGATTTACTTAAAAAAAGTATTCAAGAACTTGAATCTTTTGCACAACAACAAAAAAGTAAGAGAAATATTCAGTTTTTTTTTTTCTTCTATCGATAACTCTTCTCTGTTCATATCCATTTGTTATATTGACAAAAAACGATTGCTCAGTAGGCATCATATATACAATAAAATAGAGAAGAAGCTTTACGTATATATGTAATCGAAAAAAAAAAACTATTAATAATTGAACATATTGATATTCAAAGTATATGTACTTCAAAATGAATTAAAAATCGATTTTCTAAAAACTGATAAAATCACTATATGTATGCTTTTTTTTTTTGTACAACTTGATAATGCACTAGGTAGTCTCTTATCGAGGACATATACAATCAATCAACTGTTGTGTCATCAAGTACACGTGCGGACAAGTATCATTGTTTAAACTGTCCTTGTTTAAACCATATTATGTCTCACACAAATAGCCGAAAAAGAGAGAACGAGAGACAAGTTTCGACCTCACCACTGCTCGATTTCTCTTTTCTTCTTCTTCTTCTGCTTCTTGTTCGTCTGTACATAGATACACGCATTACATTTTTCTCTCCTTCTCTTCATTACAATCGCCATCACAACATGCGTACAAACATACAAAACATATCTAAATACATCGGTCGAACTAAAAGCTGATCAGCAACATTTTTCTTTCTCTTTCGTATTGGTAGTAATGACGATAATCGAATTGTTTCATTTCAATAATCATATTTTATAATGCGTCTTTTTCGACGATTTCGAAAGCCAATTCCATTTACATCTCCATCTGCATCATTTCAAACTGTTGTTGTCAACAAAGGTAAAAGTACATTTTAAGAAAAAATTTCTTTTGTCCTTGCCATTCTTTTTTTTCTCCTTATAATGGCAATATATGTACGATTACAAATTCGTTTTTCTCGTTTTCTAATCAACCTGTCTACTGACTGGTTAATATTTACAAGATGTACATGTAGTATTATTTTACAAAGTAAACATTAGTTTAATGAGATTTATCGTTTCTTTCACCATCATGTTCATACAAATACATCTCGATAGACAATAGACATTTGACTGATGATGAACATTGAATATAAAAATACTTATTTTGCACGTACTCAATTTATCAATAGAGTGACTGACCTTTTCATCCTAAAATAATTTTCTTTTCTTCTATTATATTTTGTTCAGATATATAAATATGAGTTATTGGTTATTATTATTATTAAAGATGTAGTAGTAATTCTATGTAGTTAATTAGACTACTAAACTCTTGAGTTGAATGAAAAAGAATTGTATATCTACTTACGATATGTAAAACCAATGATAACTGTTGTTTTACTTGTAGAAATAAGAGAAATGACAAATACATTCCTCATTTTAAATGATACAACATTGTCATCATCATCTATCTGACATGTCAATTTCAAGTGAACCCATCATAACATTCGCTCTGTTCTTTTTCTTCTATTTATCAATTACCATTGTGTATTCGTCATTGTCGATATATATATATATACATATGTATACATCGTATCTTTTCAAAACGACTCATTGTTATCATTCGATCGATGTATTCTTTCGAATGGAAGTATTCGAAGTTTGTAAACTTGACCTGATTCATTAAAATGGTAGCCTATTGCTTCTTGTTCTATATAGTTTTGAACATATATATATGTATGATATAATAGAGCATCCATACACCTGTCTATTTGCTCAAATTCAATTCGATGATGAATGAAAAAAGAAAAGAGAAGAGATATGAACATATGTCTATTGTTCTAAATAAAAAGAATTTATATTGATCAGTTTTATTTTTAATAATCCATTAGAAATAGTTTTTTTCTTTGTATAATAATTAATCAATGTCATCGCCATATTTTATTCTTTATACATATATAATACAAGGTAATAGAAATAATATTTTTTTCCCTCATCCAAGTACATATCATCTAATTGATGGAGACAATTGTTAAGGTTTCTCTATTTTTCATTTTTTTTGCCTTCATTTAATATGAGGCACAAAAAAGACAATATTAAGAATAAACAAAATTGATTTAAATTTTTTTTCACAATACTATATTTAACTTTCTCTATTCTGTCTTATGTAACATTATTAAAGGCTCAATCCACTATTGTATATGCTACATAAAGTGCGCGAGTGAAAAGTGTATACACATTAAGTTTTTTTTCTCTCTCTCTCTCTCTCTTTCACTTCGTTCTGGTGCATCGAACGTTGAGCGATGCATTTTGAGGTGGTATGTGTATGCGCATGATTGTCAAAAATGACTACTGTTTCTTAAACGTTATATGAATTTTTACTTGGTATAAAATTTTCATTAATATATATTTCGAGAAGATTTATTCTCTTCTCATTAATTAAAAACTTCGAAAAAAAAAATGTTATCTTATTGTAAACAGCAATATGAAGAACAAAAACTTCATTGTCAAATGGATTCTATTTATAAACAAAACTCTTTTTATAATTATAATAAAAAAAAAGAGTATTTTATATTATCATCATCGTCATCATCATCAGTATTGACATCAACAACAAATAAATTAATATCGAGAAAGATTAGTGATTCAAATGATGATGCTTCATCATTTTCTCATGCTATGTATATAACAGTAAAAAAACGTCGTACTACATCTCCATCTCATCAATCATTTGAAGATTGTCAATGTCTTCAATTGCCTGATATTTGTTCGACTATATTAGCGAGTAAGTTGTAAGATATCAATAATATTATTATCTGTTGTTATATTTGATTTTTTTCGCATACAGAGATAGCATAGTTTGATTGCATCATCATCATAGATAGAAATCCTTGTTATAGTTCATTATAACGTCATGTCAAGTCGATATGACAAATGAACATTTGCGTATAATATAAGGTCGAATATATTCAATAACAATAGTATATTAATAATTATAGAAAGATTTAATTATTTAAATGAAAGGATATTGAGATATCGATTCAATTAGAATTCTATGTATAGGTATTTCTTTTTGTTATACACGTCATCATCGTCTCGTTTGAATGATCAGTCATGTAATTTGAAACAAATCATAATTTTTTTCCTCTTTCTCTCATTATGTGTTACAATGAAAGACAGCTTGAAGGTAATTTTTCACACCAGGCAACTGACTATAAATATTTTGATAGGCAAGTATATAAAGCCTTTTGTATTTATCTATCAAGGCTTTCCATATGACTCTGCATATATATGTATGTATATATATATTTAAATGTATGAGCATATATTTATATATATAGTGTCGTAATTGTTCTGACCTTGTTATATGTTATGTTTATATTTATATTTTTATGAATAAGTAATGTGAGGTTAAAATAGGTGAGTGGCAAAGTTAAATGCAATCATAAAGAAAAGAATCAATGATCGACCCTGAAGCAATCGAGATGGCGACTACTGATAGGAAAATATATAGCATAAAAAAAGTCAATTAATAGTGAGAAATATAAACAGTATGATTTTTATAGAGTTAAACAATAGTGCAATGTTCTTTTTTTCTGATCATTGTTCATTACAACTATTTTTATTTGAATTCATAAGACTTGAGAAATATATTCGCTTATTTTAATATGCATCAAATCAAACAACAACAAGTAAAATATGGTAAAAGAAAAACGTATTTAGTATCAAACAGTCGAACAATAGAAAAATTCAATTAGTTAACTTATTTTCAATTATAGGTTTTTCTATAACTTCATGCTTTATTTTATTTTATGAATCTTGCCTATGTTGAAATGATTAGAATAATGTTTTGATCTCTCAAAAATCACGATAGATTTTTCTTCTCTTAACGATTTATAAAAACTAAAGCGTAAAATTTATTTGTTTTTATTATATTATAAGTCGTCACTCTTTTACATACATACATACATGGTCATAGACACTAATTCATATGAGTTGTAAATAAAAAATGAAAAGAAATAAAGGCTTCAAAATCAAGGCGAAATATTTGTAAATATAAGTAGAGATCATAACAAATATTTCAAGGTCAAAATATAATTTGATATTAATCCTTTTTTCTGTATGTCTTTTTTTCTAGCTTCAAATTCATCTGCAACTAATTCTCTTTTGACTACTACTTTTACTGAACCAAATAATTCTATTATCAAATCAACTAATTTTACAAGTTCAATACCAACATCTCGAGCTGAAATACGTCATAAAAGTGAAATTGAAATAGAAGTTAAACACGAAAAACAACAGCCATTAAACAATACAGTTAAGAATAGTATTTCATCAATACCAACATCATCTTATTCATCAGTCATACGTCCAACAGGTATAACAAATAAACAAACATCAATAATAAATTCTGATGAAAATTCTTTATCATCACAATATCAAATACCTAAACGTCGTATTTTGACAAATTCAGTTCAAACTCAAACATTACCATTACTATTAAATCAATCAGATCATCAAATACAACAACAAAAACTTAAAGCATTAACCGATGAAACACTATCAAAAAATGAAAAGATACAAGCACTTCTACGTGAACTCGGCGATTATCAAGTGAGAGTTTATGATTTGTAGCTTTTCTTTTTCACATGAACACGTACACTACAAGTGTTAATCTTTATTTCTTATTCTCTTCTTTCACTCCTTTTTTATGTGTGCTATACAGGTAACAATCAAACAGCAGGAACAACAATTGGCGAACGGCAAGAAGGACCGCGATCAATTGTGCTTTATTGTCGATGAGCGTACGAACGAATTACGTAATCTTAAGCAAAAGAATGAACAATTGGAGCAAATGATAAGAAATGGTAAATAATGCAACACACACATATATATATGTATATAAAAGGAAGACACATGCACATACCATGCGAATAAGGTTTTACGACAAATGATTGCATTTTCTTTTTTTTTTTTATATTTAGAACAAGAACATAGTAACGACGAAAAGAAACTTATTTCTCTATTACAAGAATCTCAAGAAGAACGAGACGAATTACTTAGTCGAAAGGTATAATAAACATTAGATTTTAAATCATAAAATAATTTTGTTTTTTGTTAAGCGACAAACTTATGAACGTATACAAAAATTAGAAGAACAAATAAAAAATTACGAAAGTGATGCAACAAAAATGCGTGATCAAATTTTATGTTCAAAAATCAAATTAGATAAAAAAATTGATGAAAATCAATGTTTAACAAATAAATTAACCGATATGAGTAAATTTTGCGATCGTCTTGAACAAGAAAATCAAAAATTAAAATTACAAATTGAACATGAACAAAAAAAGGTTAAACATTCAAGAAAATCATCTCATATTTTTTTTTGATTTTGCTTATTTTTTTATCATTTTAAGATTGAAGAATGCACAAAATTAAAAACATTTGCTGATATGGAATTACAAAATAATCTTGATAAAATACGTCACGAACGTTATGAACATGAAACAAAAGTTACTACATTAGATGATGCATTAAAATATGCTCAAAAACAATATCAAACATTACAACAAAATCAATATACTATTGAAGATAAACATAAAAAAGAAATTCATGAATTAAAACAACATATACATGAATTAGAAATTAAAATTGAAGAAGTTATTAAAGATAAAGCATTAGTATCAATACGTTGTGGAGAATTAATAGAAGAAAATCGTAAATTAGAAAAAACATTAAATGAAAAAGAAGATGATTATGAAGACAAAATTAATTCATATAGAGAAAAAAATTGTCTTTTATCAACACAAATTGAAGATTTAGAAAAAAAACTAACTGAAACAAAAAAACAACTTGAATTAATAACAATTGAAAAAGATGAAACTTTAGCTGATATGTTAATTGCTGTACGTGTGGCAAGTGAAATGAGACATGGTAGATTATTTTAATGAAACAAAAGAAAAAAAGATTAATTAATATATTTCTATTGATTTAGATGCAGAAGATCGTTTAAATAAAGTTAATGATGATCTCAAACGAGTTACAGAACATATTGAACAAGAACGTGCACTTAATAAAGAAGTTCAACGAAGACAGGTTAATTTCTTTTTCTAACTACATGGGAATTAATTTTCAAGCAAGGCAACAAGGCGTTGTGTGGATGAATTTCAGCAGCAGCAGAGAATGTCACGCCCTGCGTGTTCCCCATTAGTCATGACCCTGAGTCATAGTCATAATTAGGGTTGATTTAATCAGTAACTCAAAACGTGTATGAACTAATCTTGAATAGAGATCTGTGAGAATTAGCCTTTTTAATCTTACTTTTGTGAATTGAAACTTAGATTAAACCTATTGAAGAACAAATCAGTTTTGACTTCTTTTAAAAAGTTTATTTCAATGTTTTTAGTATGACACTTGATACGAATCAAAATATTTGAATGTCATCATCAGTTTTCAATTTATATGGAATTTGTTTTTTGCTCCTAATCATATTCATGATAGATCTGCATTTCATGTGATATAGTTCATTGTTACACATTTTCGAAATTTTTCCATACAATTCAGTGTGTCGAAAATATTTTATTAAACCAGAAAAAAAAACAACTTTCTATTTCTTTTCACTTTGAAATACTGATAAAAGTCATAGAAATGATGACAAAGTCTATAATCTAATTCTGTAAAGAAGTTTACTTTATCATTTACCCATAAATACATCTTGATGAAGTATAAAAAATATGAAAAGAATTTTTTTTTATTTAGACATTTATTTTCGAGTTATGAACACTTTATTGATTTTTTCCATTACTACAAGACATTTCGAACAGATTTGAATAACATGTTTTCGATCAAATATTTTGCTCATAGATAAGCTTCGGATTTACTTAGATATTCAAAAAGTTTTAGCTGAAACAAATGCATACTTCTAGAGATAACTTCAGTTTTATTTATGATTAAAATACTCGACCAAAACTAAGGCATTCAAATCTGTTCGAAATATCTGGTAATACTTAAAAATTCAATAAAACGGTCATAACTCGAGAAGGAACGTTTAAACGAACAACTCATTTTCAAATTTCTCCAACGTTATCCACGACTAATTATGGTCAAAAAATGGAAATAAACAGTACACGAGAAATTTTTTTCTCTCTCTCTCTCATTAAAGATTGTTATCAACAGTAGTAGTCCTAAGTAAAAGTACCTGTCTCCCACGATATAATACTATTAATGATATTGAGCGAATATATGGCGTGCATGCGTGCGACAATTAACCTTGACCGCAAACATCAACACACTTTCTATCGATTCATATGTACTAAAGTTATGATTCAGGCATCATTTCGTTCTTGTGATTACTTTATCGCAATCATGTTGACACAAATATTTTTGTCTAACTCCTCATTCAAAAGCCCAATGCCGTAGCTATCTCTAGTCTGAATTTTGTTAAAAATCACTTAAAAATGGCAGAGAAAATGTCTTCTCGCTAAAAACGTCTATTGAAAAACGAATGCTGGCTTTTAGCAAGGTTCATCTTTGTCGTGATGACTGTGAGTGATTCATATGAAAACTTTAGTAAAAGTTCCTATGGGACAACGAGTCTCTTCTGAAAGTTTTAGAGCCGCAGCACTGAAAGGAAATCAAGTTAGTGCTACAATATAGATTCAGTATTTCAATGTGTGCTAATTACTGAGATCTTGAGTATGTGCCTCGGGTTTTGCTATTAATGAAGAAGGTATGGAACTGTCTTAAGCGCTAGAGAAAAAACAGTAGTGGAGTTGAGCATAGAAAAATGACAAACAAAAACTTGTTCAGTGCATATTTTTGCTGAATATGTTTTTCACTAAGGAAAGAAGATATGTGAATCGTAACTTCAGTAAATTTTAACCGATGGATGAGGTGAGAGCTACTTTTTTTTGAGGGATTGTATTTCTAATAATCTGTAGAATAAAAAGCGTGCGCTATGGATAATATTTTTCAAACAAATTATATTAAATATTATCATATGTATTTAGATGCAATTACCACCAACAAATCGCAATGGCAATGGATTTTGTGGTAAACAAATATCTTTTGTTTTCTAAATTTACATTCGAATTTCATTTCTAGAGATTGGTCATGTAAAAATAAAAGAAATGATACGAACATTAGAAGCTAATTCTCGAAAAAGTAATAATTTACTTTAAAAAAAATAAATATATATCTAATCTATTGTCTTCTTAAGATTCAATCAATACATTGAATAATCATGTGGATTCTACAGTTCGTCAACGTCCATTATCTCAACCATGTACACGTACAGAAACTAATGCTATATTAACAAATAATCATCATCAACAATTTGGTACAACAACTGATGATGCAAAAATTTTATCTTCAACAAAAAATAATTCTTCATCATTTAATAACAGTCATCGCTCTGATATATCAATTCGATCAATAACAAAGTAAGTTAAAGCGTGAAAATCTTGACACGAAATATACGCTCATTTTTGTAGCCACGAACAGACAATTACGCAGAATTAGGATAAGAATTTTTCCATATTCAAATTTTCCTTCTACAGTAAAAATGAACATCTATCAGTAAATTTTGTAAGTAAAAAGTCCAACATTGTATTCATACAAACCAAAATAGCGGTTTTGGTACAGTTCTTAATTTCGTGTCTTGGAATACTTTTGAAACAATCTAATGATGATTGTCCAATCTTATCTCAAAAGAAAATTCTAAACACATATTCAGAAAGAGTGGAAAATTCTGATCCAATTAGTACAATATTTCTGCTGAACAGAAGACCAGACTAACGCAAAGTTTTTCTGATCAATCGTTTGAAAGTTTCCTGTACACACTAACTAATTGAATACTAGCTACAAGAGCAACTGTATGTCACAAGTAATAATTAGCATACTATCGAACTGATGATTCAAGACAAGCAGTAGTTAGTAATTTGTCTCGAATCATTTCACATTTGATGCTATCGAATTTTGAACACAATATCCATCGAATATGTGCTGGCCATTTGATTCTAATTGACTGCTTCTGTATCTAATCAGTTGTCTCTAATTGATCGAAAAATGAGTAAATATTTTGTGACGAGATTTTCATGCCTTAGATTATATGAAAATATTTATTGCTTGAAATTTAATCTGACTAATGGATGTTTTTTTGTTTTAGTGAACAATACGATGAAATGAAGTCAATTGTTGAAGCAGTTTTTGCTCGAATGCCTGGAAGTGTTTGTAAACGTGATGCTTTATTAAAATGGTGTGTAGAAAAATTAGCAAATTATGTGAGTAATTGTATTTTCATTGATTTAAATGAAAATTTCAATTCATTAAATAGGGAATATCAATAACAAATTTTTCAAATTCTTGGACAGATGGTATTGCATTTTGTTCATTATTACATTCATATTTACCTGATCGTATTGATCTTGATATGATTAGAAAAGAATCAAAAGTATAATCAAAGAAAAAAAAACAGCTCATAATACAATTCTAATTATTTATACTTTTAGAAAAATCGTTTTGAAATTGCTTTTAATATTGCTAGTAGCATTGGAATTGTATCTATATTAGTAAGTCAATAGAAAAAAGTTTTTTTTTTTTTTAATTTAATTTTATTCTAATTTGTTAGGATGTTGAGGAAATGTGTTCATCGGAATGGCCTGATTGGGAACGTGTAATGTATTATGTTGCATTAATATTTCGTCATTTTGAATGTTCAACATCAAATCAAACAATATCACCAATACTGCCAATTCCACAAGCATCATCATCACCTATGTCACCAACATTTTCAACATCAGCATCATCACCTATATGTGCATCATTACGATCATCAAATTCAATTCCAACAATACTTTGTTCACCATTACAAACTGTATAATGAAGAAAAGTTTTTCGTTTTTTGTTTTCGTTTCTTTTTTTTAAAAATCTACATAGTAGAATACATTCCAAAATTTGATTTCTTTTTATTATGTTTGTATACATGAATTGATGTTTTACTTTTATTGCATGATATGAAGTGTGTTTGATTATACCTGAAAAGCAAATGTAGTTTTCTTTTTCTTTTTGTTTGTTTATTTGCTTTTCTTTTTATTATATTATGATGATGGTTAGAGATACATTTGAAGATGATTTATTTATTTTTTTGGTCTTCTAACATGATTTTTCTTTTGTTTAATATATATATATATATATAAATATAAACGAGAAATCTGATTTAATAATTTGATGAAAGTTACTAGGAAGGGGTCCTAGTTCCGTATTCTTTTATTCTCTTTCGATACATGCAGATAAGAAAGGACTGTTTATATCATTATCCAATAAGAATAATTTATGCAGATTCAGAGGACAATATAGACTGTGTAAAAACCAAGTTGATTTAGTAGACGTGAGATCCATCGCAATTCATTCGCCTTCTCACAAATCTTAATGAATGAGAACGAATTGAAAGAAATTTAAAAAAAAGGATATTTTTTTTAATGCTCAATCACTTAATTATATTTCGAGTCTGTTTTAATCAATTGAGCTGATTGTTTTTGTTTCTCGGTAATAAAGGACTTGTCAAAGTTTGTATTCATACAAAAACTATCAAGAAGAAATTGTGTAGAACTAGTACTATTGGTCAAAAGTATCTCACTGTACAATTTCAGACATTCCTACGGCTAGACATGTGAAGTTTTCAGAGTATAAATTAACTTAGAAATATAGACTAGTGACATCAGTCCAATAGCGTTGTTCGCTTGATGTGAAGAGAAGTTTGATCTATGGTAAGCCTTCTCACATTGAGTTCTATAATTCAAGAAGGAAAGGAGCTTATGACTCGACGAGCCTATGATTATATGTAATTCTTCAATGGAGCTATTTACAGTATTTATTTCATTGAGTTTTATCTAAGAATTCAAAAGTTGTGAAAATTTTACATAATGATAGATTGACTAGGTCATAAATTCTTTGCCTTCTTGAGTTCATAGAGTGAAGACCTGTCATACGTCATAACTCATGTTCAATTGAAGCAATCGAGATAGGGTTGATCTTGTTGATTAACACTTTTAAGGTAGCATATATTCTGAAAACTCCAGATGTATAGCCTAAAGAATGGCTACGATACTTTCAGTCAGTAATGTATTGCTTTATTGATTTCAAGGAAAATAAATCAACTTGATCGACAAAAGTAGACTGGAGATATTGAGTGCATTTGTATCATCTAGTTATTTATTAATTACTATGTATAAAGTCCCTACACATTAGAAGACCTCCTTTTGACGAATGAAGCAAAAGACATATTAGAAGACCCCCCCCCCTCCAGAAAGTTAATTTTTTTTAAAAACAATACGTGGAGTCTAGTGACTTTTTCAGTATTAAAGTCCATAGTGATATCTAAGTTCGGTATGAACACTATTTTACTTTCGTCGTGATAACAATGTGTCCGTCCCGAGTTAGAAAAACCTTGAGAAACAGCTAATAGGAAACAATTGTCTATAAAATAATAATTTTTTTTTGAAAACGTATTGTGTAGTGATTTTAGTGCTTCTTTGCAGCTTATTCTGGAAAAATTCGTTCATTTCTCTATGTCAAAAAAAACTTTCTATGATAATAAGATCTAGTGGAATGAGTGCACATTGGCGGTTATAGCACATAAAGAGATCTTTGTAAAATAGTAGCATATTTAATAAAAGTTCTTTTTGTATTAATTAAAAAGCTTCTTCATTTGTAAACCCCTCCCCGTATTAGAAGACCCTCCCATATTAGTAGACTCCCCTATAATAGAAGACCCCCCTGGACAAAAAGTTCATCGGGCGTATTAGAAGACCTCCATTTAATTAATTAATTATTTGCTAATTAAGAACTTTAATTAGGGAATTTTCGTCCAGGAATGTAGTTTTTAGATTCTTCAGCTGGTAATATTTAGAAAATGAGTCCAAATGTATCCGTCGACCCTCAAAACCGTGAAAATCCCTATAAGAATCCTGAAAATCGCCTCGGATTTCTGGAAAACTACTTTCAGTTAATAATTGGTAAAAAACCTAGGACATAATAGAAGACCCCTCTGAGAAATTTCTACGACGAGACATAATAGAAGACCAGGGGTCTTCTAATGCGGGGAGGGGTTTACTATCAAAAGACATAACATTTTTGGAACTCTTACAGCCCATATATTTCAACCGAGATCATGGTCTGTTGACAATGTAAATGCGCTGAAGCCGCCTGTATTAGCCACACTCACTGTCTTTCTGTAATTTTCGAGTTTTCTTTATTTGTAATAAAGACGATACTAGTTAATGACACCAACAAAATAGAGAAAAAAAATGGTCAAGATGAAAATATGATATAACAACGTTGGAACTTATGCCTAATTTTTCGGTGAAATTATCTTTTTAATTGACCCGATTGTAAAATAACCCAAAACAAGTGCATCAATAAATCGGTCGTCAGAGTGAATCAAACTCGAGTCTGCAGTCCATAGGTCACCTATATTGATTGATGATGGGAGAGAGCTCTCGAAAGATGTCGTTTGCGATTGAATTCATTTTCATATAAATTGACGGTAGTCAAGACGCAATTGCTCAATATTATTCGATAAATTCTTTTAGATAAGAATCTCATATTTCAAACTATAGTGGTCAAACTTTAAATATTTCTTTTAACTTTAATCGTACTTTCTAGTATCAATTCATAAAATCTACCAAATTTGCTTTGTATTTGAAGAATTAATTTTATTCATTTGTTTCGCAAATAAAAAAAAATAGACATTTAGTATCAAATATTATAATAGAAGAATAAGGTAAAAAAAATTGCTCTTATAATCACTAATTATATAAGGTAATGGAAAAGAGTTCAACAACAACATCTGATTGATTGTGTTTTTAATAATGTTAGGCATCTAGTGCAAATGTAAATCGTGATTTTATAACCAAGGGAACCTCCTATCTAATGCATTCTAAACTAAGATTTTATAGATGAAACTATGGTAGCAAGATTTCTGAAAAAAAAACCAGAGATGGGAGTTTTCAGATCCTACCAGACAAAGCTGCGTCTAGTTTTAAACAATACCATTTTCAAGAACACAGCATTTTACAGAAAATGAGAATCACTGCTTTTCTTACGACCATCTCTTAAAAAGTTAAGCATCACAAAACACGAACTTAAGGTATTGTAGTGATGAATTTTTCGATAAAGTTCGTTGTTTTACGGGTTTTATCATGCTTCTAAATGTTCAAGGGAAGGTCGTAAAAAATGCTACGACCCTCATTCTGTTTAGAATTTTGTGTTCTTGAAAATGACATCTTAGGGTGTGGGTGTGAGTTTTTGCCTTAAAACTTCACATCCTGAAATGGTTTTCTAATTCTACAAAAATACAAGCCTTAGTATTCATCGTAATGACAGAATAATGAAGCCGAGAACATAGATGAGATTAATATTAAGAAATGATTTGAGTTCGGTATTTCTCTACAAAACTGCTACGAAAGTTTCAAAACCTATTACGAAAAAGATCTATATTTTTCTTTTACTAGAGAGGGAACCTCCTCTATTGCCTCCATCCGAATTCAATGTTTTTTTTATAGATACTACATTGTACTCTAGTAAAAACTTTTAAAGGATTTCAATTCTTATTGAGATTTGATGGAACTACCGAATTTTTTATATGTATATTTACTAGAATCCTGTATAGAACTTGGGGATTTCTAAACAGTGATGTTTTTTAATTATTTTCTTGAGACTATTTCTAATTGAAAGTCTCACATACAGTAAGTTGTGACAGTTTCAAAATTAGATACTTTTCGAAAAGTAGAGCATAACACAAGAATATTTTGAAAAGTTCGTAGC